TTTAGAATCATTAGGAATTGTATTCTTTCTATCTTTATTTATGGATTTTCTAAAGCATTGGTGAAAAGCAAAAGAACCCGCAATGGGACAAACATTGCTCAAGCCGTGGAGGTGTAAACGCACCTTGAAAATCCAATCCTTTAAAGGACACTGAACTCAAATTTTACCTTAAAGCTATAGATATTTGATTTACGCCAACATGGTAGTCGCCGCTGATATATGAGCCTGCCAAGATGGCGGCATTCATTTCGGTAAGTTTCTCTAGTTTGTACGCTCATTTCTCTCTTGTCGTTGAAGATGCGCCAATATCCCTTGGTAATCTTTGAGAAGGAACTTAGATTAATCAAATAACTATAGTGTAAGGTAAAGTGGAGTTCTCCTTTAAGTTATTTTGTTTGAATAAACCCCTTGCACTTCATGGGAATGCAATTCCAACTAGAGGACAAAACAATGGATTCTAATTCTCAAGAGGGCAAACATTTCAGTTTTGTTTTTTCCTCAAGATGAATCCGCTTTGACGTCACATGCAAGGGATCTATATATAGAGACTTCTGACGCTTTTACGTCATGTATGCGAAATGCATTGTAGGATATGTTTGGGACAGAAGATGGCGGATTTATTTTTATTTCGTCATAAACTAATCCCACAATGAATTGCAAATCGCGTAAAAGTCTCAGAAGTCTATTCAGTTAATTATTTTTTACAACATGACAATATGAACAAAACCAAAATGGCTGGATCATCAAGAACATGTCATGTATAGCTATTTTAAAATAGGTTGTCGGATAAAATGGCGAATGTCAATGGTAGAACGGCGATTGCCACGACCGAAAGTAGACATGGGTTTTGCTTGGTTGAAATGAAATAACAACTGATTTATACTGTAAGACTGATTGATAGACTGTGGTAAACATTGGCTCCATTTAGTCTCCATTTCTATGCAAGGTGAATCCAATAAGTGAAATTTTGTTTATCAAAACAGTGTAACCATAGTCCTTTTCGGTCATGCAATCTCCCTTCGACAATCGTCGTTCGCCGTTCTCCCCGACAACGTTTTTTGAAATAGCTGTATACTAGCAATTCGGCGTACGTTGTTTACAGGGCACTTGGATACATAATTTTGTAGCTACTTAAGCCCTCATAACCTTAATTTTGCTACTTATTCTCCAATTAGTAAAATTGTGTGAGGTAGGTAGCCGTTAATTGTGAGCTACCTGGTGTTTGTAATAAGCACCTAAAATACAATAGCAGAATAATTTATACTAAAAAGATCGATCAAAGACTCTCCGATGTTATGGACGTTTGTTCTGTCTAAATCATCGGAATGAAGGCAGAATCAATTACAAGAAACCAAGAAACAAAAGTTTGTTTAAAACTCTTAAAAGAGTGCATGATTTCTATTTCTCTTTTTATTCCCAAAAGTTGATTTTGTCAAGCCCCAATTCAACAGGACAATATTTGTCTCCAACCATCGCATGCAACTTGCCCAAATCGTCTGCATAACGCAACTGACATGGCTACAAATGTATTGGAGAAGAATTGCTTAATAKCTCTACGACAGCTGGAGCCATTTTGTATAGACAATTTGGGCAGGTTGCATGCGATAATTAAAGGTTGTGCCGTCGAATTCATCGGATACAGTGCGAAACGTATGCTTCTATAACAACAATTTTGCATTTCATCTGTATGATAAAAGCATAATATATGCCATATTGAAAAAAAAAATGTGAAAAAAATACTTGCTTACTACCGCCAAAAGCTGAACATTACAACTTGAAATCGAAAACTTATCCACAGATTTTGTTGTTGTTGTTGTTGGGCTACTAAAGGTCCCGCCCGTTTACACATGCGTTTTTTTGTTTTTGCAGAGCGATTCTCGCTGCGATCGTCGCGCRACCATCGCCTGAGTTTAAAACATACTTGAAAATTGCCTGCAACTTCTCGGCGATTTTCCATMGCCGCAGCAATCGCAGGGTTGTTTACACGTACGATTTGAGTTTCGCGACAGCACGGTGGCGATTATTGCGATGCAAAAATCGTAGGCGTAAACGGGCCTTAACAACCGTTATTTATCCCCATAGTAACGAGACTTTGTCTCACCTGGAACCTGCGCTCGAGGGTAATTTGCACGAAATGGGTACCAATTCTACCYTGAGAATCTGACACCCCAAATTTGAATGGCACTTTTCAGACTGTTTATACTTATCAATAATGTAATAACTTATGTAATAATTGTAAGATATAAACACAACTTTGTATTTATAAACAAGCACCATACGTGTAAAATATCCGATTTTGTCATTCTACCCAACAAATTTCGCGTTGAGGATCTTGAAAGAAAACACAGTTTTGTTCAGAGTCAATAACTTGTAAAGGTCGGATCAATTTTTTGGAGCATCTTAAGCTAATTACGAATTTTTTCACTGATAATGTCAAKATCTGCGAGAGATCAAGCATGCAGTCGAAAGTTGCTCTGTCAACTTGTTTTTCTTTAGTTTATCTTGTTTTTTTTTTGTTATTTTAAATAATCTAGAATTGAATTGGTTAGAATGTTAGATTCATGGCTAAAAGAACAAGATATTTCGTCTTACCTTGTATCTCTAAAAGGAAATGGAAAAATGTTCTGCAAATCAATATCAGCTATGATCTGCGTTATTGTTCAAATTTCAGGATTGAATGGGGGATTTCAAATAGTCCGTACAGACAAAAAGCTAATTAAAAGTCGACTAATCCCAGGAAAAAGGAGATAAAAGCGAAACCAGGAGGATCTCTCTAATGGGCTATAATTGGACGACCGGCTAAAACCACAAAGCTCGGCCTTTTGATGACAAATTAGACATAATAAGCCTTTTACATAAAAAGGTCACATGGTACAAAATCCGCCATACTGGATCAGGGCAAATATCAACTGGGATCATTCAAAACAAAGAAAAGTCAAGCTTGACGGGCTGCGTTCCTTTTTGTATTTGAGGTTATTTACATTTTTTTCTTCATAAAATGCAGACAAGCAGAACAGAGCAGATTTACTTAACGAAAAGTGTCAAATGAACTATAAGCGTCACTTTAGGCAACGCAAGRAAGCGACAAGTATTTAAATTGCTCCCGCCTCGAATTTCGCCTGAAATAAAGTTTTTCTTTCATATATAGAAGTGATATCAATTTTCTAGAGTAGCCAATGAAAGCTCACATTGTAAGCCCCATCGTTTGTCGTAGATCTTTGTAACATACATGGCAGTCCTGTACATGACATTTTTATCTGGAAATCCACATAAGATTATTGTATCTGATAGCTGTGATCAAAACTTAATCCTTAACAGAATAAATGTTAACATGAAAAACCCTTTATTACCTTTTAATGTAATATATAATCAACGGTTGAACAAATACTAATAAATGTTTTGTCTTGTATGTGTTCCGTTGATTTCAAAAACTGAATTTGAAGTTCCAAAAATGTGATTAGTGATTTACATTCTACCTSCTCATTTGCATATTCGAGATCCCGTGAGATAGCGCATGCGTACTGGCGGTCATATTGMGTTGCGTTTGRCGAACGACACACGAATTCARCAGTATAGGAGTTTCTGGACGTTATTTGGTCAGTTATTTTTGGTAATAGAGTTTAAAATCACAAAGAAAAAGTTCCTGTGGATTCCAACTACACGTCAAAGTTTTTTCATTAACCATGAAAAAAACAGTTAAACACAAAGTAAAATAATTGATTAAAAGTTTGATGTCACTTCAACTAGTAGTCTGACTCTTTCACAGTGAAATGAAAACGACTATATTTTTCATCTTTATTTAACAGTGCTTAAAGTGAAAACGTAGAACAGTCATTATTTCCAAATTGAATAATGGAGGGCTGGTTGCGAAAACGGCCAAAGTGACTTTTTAGGATATTAATTTTTGAAATTTTCGTTAAATCACTTCAATCATGATAATCATGTTTAGAACTTATTTCTCCTGATTTCTGTCAAAAAGGATTTAAAAAAAATATTCGTAGTTACGGAGTACTTTGCCTTCACAACTTGTCGCCAGACCATAAAGTCCAGTAAATTTGCATATTGCACGTACACACTTTGCTTCAACCGTTTGTTTGTTTTGGCTACCAATCGAATCTCAAAGGTAAAAACTTGTATGCGCATGTACGCGKGTCGACAATCTCTATACATATTATTTTGAGGTGTAAGTTTTGTTTTGGACTAATTTTAATGAGCAGCCGTCTGCAAAAATTGACCAAAGASKCACGAAATATAAAAATTTCTCAAATTCTCCGCAATTACAAAAAGGTCATCGCATGTTTTACGAGAAATAACCAATTTTGTGTTTTGCCGCCMGAAGACCACAATTTGATCGACGCCGTTTCATAGAAATGGCCTAAAATCTCCTAAAAATTCAGGTCTTCTAAACACCACTTCTATAAAAAATCTAATTTCGAATTCACTGATGTCGGTGCGTGTGTCATTCAACTTATAAGAGCGTTGCGAAGTGTCGTAAAATCAATCATTTCTTCACAAGTATTAACCAATATGTTTGAAAGATTTGCAATGCTTCAGACTTTCTGCCGTGGTTGATGTTTATTTACTATCAAATTCAAAACTGACATATTGACAAATGGACGTTTTTTATTCTGGCGAAAAAGATTGAAATTCTAGTTCGTGTTTTATGTTATTAGCAAAACGCTAGCTTTAATCCTTGAAATTGTACAAAATCAAAATTGCACAAGTTGCTCCAAGTTTCCTGGCAACTCAAGTGAAATATGGCTTTACCWATTTCTATAGGCACCATTAGTAATTGTTCAAACCAGAGAACAACACCTTCAGAATGAAATGCGTGTACATTTCTAAAAGTATTATAATACAATATAAGTTAAAGCCGAGCTTGCTTTCCAAGATGCGRAAAAGGTTTTTTTAACTACCTAACAAATAGCGCTTTCACTTCTTTCTAGTATAGTTTACTGGACTGAAACTTAAAACAAATAAAATACTGTAATGGCACCTACCTTGCATTAAGTAATTCAGTTGTGTTGTCTGAAAAGTAGGACAGTTCAGATAACTAAATATGTCCTCAAGTTTAGATAATTTTCGAAGCCTCCAAGCACAACTTCAGTTCAGGTAAAGCTTAGCTGTAATSAGCCCGCTGAAAGCTTAGCAGGTTGTCAGTTTATATATATTATCAAAAGAACTTTGAAAGGCAATATTACAATGCACAGAACAATATATTGTCCACTCTGATTAATTATGCAAGGAATACAATTAATATTAGAAGAGCAAAAAAACGCAATGTAGAMSAGACAACAATATTTCGCAGCGGGATCTCAGAATGTGGAAATTACAAGGAATTGTTTTGTAGAACAAATAAGAGATCCCACAAACCGCTGCTAATTGTTCTATTGAATATCGGKATAATCATAGTTAGTATGGGATAATCGAGCCTTTGATATGGAATGTATTATGTCTGCCCGCATTTTGACTGTGAAACACGCTTTTAATTGGAAAGATCGACTTAGGGCTGTTTTGTAGGCCTGAAACGTAGATGAAAACRTTCATCCCACAGACTTTGACTGGATTTTATCAGCTGAAAACTAAAAGTTTATCCGGTGGATATACAACGATATTCAAACCGGCTTWACTGACTTTTGAGTAATRACATGATTTTTGACATTATCTACTGGAATTAAGAGAATTAAAATTGAGCAATAACAAATTAACAAATTAAGCTAAAATCAATAATTGAAAATTACAACCGCCATGCGTTGAAAGTTATCAAGAAGTTTCTGTTTGCGACCGAGGAACGTCCAGCGCAATAAATATTGAAATTTTAAACTTATAAATAAATCAATGTTTTGACACAATAGTACTTACCCGCTTATTAGAACCTGCAATTTAAGAACCTGTTAGGCTAGACTAGACTCCATTTACATAAGAACCTCAGTATTTAGCCTAAAATTGGAAACAGGTTCTTATAGATAAGTTCTTATAGAAATGAACCTCATGTAAGAATTCTTCATGAAAAAAAAACAACAAAAAAACAAAAGTCTCAAATGAGTGAACTTGAACATGTATTAACTTCTAAATTTGGTATAGATAATGTTGAAAACCTTGTAAATTTTCAATACATAAGGGAAAAATATGAACCTATAATTATTTAAGAACCTGCATAGCCTAAACGTCCAACAACGTCCAACAACGTCCAAAAAATTCTGTATTCTATTTTCTCTTGTTTTTCTTAAAAGAGGACAATTATAGCAATAAGCCGACATATTTCAATTATAGCAATAAGCCGCAAGAAATTCTTATTATTATYCAAGGTGAACTGATTGCATTTTATTACGCTCCAATTTTGTTTATGAATTTATGACCATAATAGATTTACTGGCTTTCTTGCCGTATTTATCATTCATTAACAAATTTTTATTGGTTTAAATCCASAAAACTTACAGAATAGCTGACTTTAGATATTTTGGTTCAGTGACCATGCACTAAGAATTGCAGGCTCCGGGGAAATAAAAGAATAAATCAAAATTATCCATTGTTTTCCTCGAGCCTCGTGTGCGTTCTTTTGTGACATAGTCATCGAACAAAAATATCTAAGCTTGACTATTGTTTTATAAGTTTGCCAGAGCGAGCCATGCGTTTGTATAGTCATTAAGTCCCTGTTTACATGAAATAGGGTGGCCCTAGGTGTAGAGCCAAACTCTTTTGTTTTCAATCCTCCAGGGAAAAGAAAGCAAAGGAGTTAGCTCTATCACATAGGGGCACCCTATCTCATGTAAACAGGGCCTAAGAGTATACTAAGAAAACCAGGGGATTGGGGTATTAACTATTACATCTTCCCTTCTATAAAAAGGGCAGGGAACTGAAACCCACAACATGTTATGTGGTTTACCACGGACAGCAATCCATATTTTTCACAGTTTGTCGCCGTTTCTTCTTGATCAAAATGACGACTTTTGCATTGGAAAGATAAAATTCATGTTTTGATTTTGTATAAAAAAGGCCGTAAACACAATTCAATGTTTCTTGATAGTATCGAGAGAATGTACACAAATTAAAACATAAAATGGCGCTAGTGCGAGACAATGCGTATAAGTAGGACCATCAATGACATCTGCCATGTAGCAATAAGTAGCAAAGTAAAATGCATAAAAGTTTTTCTTTTCTCGTGAACAAGGTTTTCTATCATTATATCTTAAACTGAATCTGTTCATATATTTTAAGTTAAAATATCAGCGTCACAGAGAGAGAGACAATGAAAAGAAAACGGTAATATAAATAAAAACTTACCCGACGGTTCTCTGGCTGGCGTTTTGTCACCTTTTTCCTATGCGTTTACTTATCAATTAAGAGTAACTGTATAGGCGCTCAATGAGCGCATGTGTTTAGTACGATTGTAAGCATAATCGTAAAATTTCAGTGAAGCGGTTACATAACTTGTTTTTTACATGTTGTGATAAAATAAAKATTCCCTTGAATTAGCAATGGGTTTTAGTGGTTGAAACCACATTTATTTACATTTATTATTATTTTTCTACAATTTTTTGTTGTAATATAAATGTGGTTTTAAGGCACTTTAGTCATTAACCTAGATAACAAGAAACTTTCAACTAGAACACGAAAAGGAATTTGTATTAGTATCTATAAACAGAAAATGTAGCATGATTCTTATCCTGTATAGCATAGTTTAAGTAAACCACGAGTTGTGAACTTAATTTAGACAATGTTTGAATGTTGTTTGAAAAAGAAAAGCAGAAAGAAGTACAGTCCCTTTGCACAACGCAAATTACAAACTTCCACAGCTAATGAATTACCACGAGCGATTTTCACGAACTTGTCCGTAACTATCCGCAGAGATGATTGCTTCACATTGGTTGCGAGAATTCATTTGGCGTTGGTTCGTACTAAAGTTATATGTTATGCCGATCGCTTCCGAGGGCTTCCTCGTGTTTATGGGTCTTCCGAAGGACTATTGAATATTGCATTTTGACGTCAATCTAGTGTTACACATTCTATTGTTACTTACTCATTTGCATTCGAATCGATAGCATAGTGTCTACTACTTCGTAGTATGCATAAAAAATTAAAAATAGATGTTGACATTTTTTTTCTTGGATATATTTGTATATATATATATGTCTTTGCTTAAACATATTTATGGCGTTAGCTTCGTTTCCAGGCTACTCTCAGTTGCTCGGCAAGACTATTTTTTATTTACCTCTCTCGCCTACATCAAGAGCAGTTAGCGTYCGCCATCTTGGATCTGAGCTGACCGAGAGTAGCCTTGGAACGAGCCAAGCACGGAGTGACATGGCGTTAGTAACCTTGGATGCATCCATTTCAAAAATTATTATCTGCTCCTTGAATATGAGAAGGTCGAATAACCAATGGTGAAGCTTCCAAAAATAGACCACAGATGCCAGAGTCTTGACCAAGCTATGAAACTAAAGATAAAAACTAATTAATAAGATGATATCATCAATATGAAATTCATTTCTTTGCAACCTAGATTCAAGGAAAATAGCAAGGATACGATAAAGCACGGGGATCCCGCGCAATCAACAGAAAGATGCTTGACAGTGAACGGATTAGGTGGGCAATGATGAAGAAAAGCGAACTTATGCGATAACTGAGAAATGCCATGGTATAAGACCCTTAAGATGATGATGATGGTGATGATGATGATGACGCCGATGAATGATGGTTACGATGACGAATTACGATACTGCTGCTGATGATGATGAAGATGCTATGGCGTAAAACATATTTTTTAAACTTTATTTTAATGATGGTAAACCAGTTTAGTCATGGACTAATCTACCACTGGGCCATCAATAGCTCACACTCACTACCTCTACATTAAGTATTTTAGCACACAACACTCCTCACATGTTGATTTTTACTGAGGGAGGAAAACCGGAGTACCCGGAGGAAAACCCTCGTGGTAAGGGAGAGAACAACACATCAAACAAACTCAAACTCACATATGGTCCGTGCCCGGGAATCGAAYCCGGACCACAGCGGTGAGAGGCCAGCAGCTTAACCACTAGGCCACCCGTGCCACCCTAACATACACAATAAATAATAATATCATACCTGAAGCCTTCTTTTGTTTGGACCTTTTGGACAATTCCCATATAAGACCAATTACTGTAAAAGCTCCAACAACAGCAGATAGAGCTATTAGAGCGTTAGTTTCCACAGAACGTTTTGGTGCAGGTGTAGTAAGCTTTTTCCTGTTTTGATTACGGTACTTTGCACGGTCTTTTAACTACAAGACATAGCAATTGGTATCAAAAATGTTGAATTTTGTTGAATAAGACTTCGAGGATGYCTTAGAAGGATGGGCGCCACATTTGCTTGTGAGATTGTCAAYAATCTTAGCTCAAAATTCYTTTACCAGGGAAAAAATTCGTACAGGAACAGTTATTTAGAAGAACAGACCCCGTCGGCTCCTCCTTCAATTTATCAGTTCTTTAGCCTTACCTTCGCAATTGCAATTTGGTCGAGAACAGATTTCTGCCAACATTTGAAAAACGTCCTAAGTGGATCATCGGGCTCGTGAGTACAAACTATTCCAAGATAGGTGGGATGGGTGATCATCGTTTTAATTGTTAAGTMCATAGATTTGTTCATTTTAAGCAGAAATGCACGATGTTGCTTTTCGTAATCATAGAGTATGGCRTACTTTCGTCCACCTATGCTTGATGCATCTCCTTTTATAGCAGCCTTTATGATGTTAATAATCGGATATTCTAGAAAGAAATAGAGGATATTATATGAACGCGCGGAAATGATAATTTTATCTTCGAGTGGTGCTCAATTCATATCTCACCGAGTRAGCGTAGCAAACGAGTTAAATATCAATTGAACAYGAGAAGATAAAATTAGTATTTCMAAGCGGCCATGCAATGTTCTATTTATTATATACATATCGATCTATTAAATACATATTGATCTAATTGGCCGAAAAATGTGTCACCATGAAAGATATGGTATCTTTTCACGGTTGGAGATATTGCATTTTCASAACTAGAGAAAACGTGGTATCTCATCGATATCTCATCGATGTCTTTAATTTTTGCATGGACCTATGTAGGACAGGAACTTAACTTTGATTACAGTAATTTTATTGTATATTTTGAACAGTAAGGTGATTAAAGAAGCTAGTTTTAAAGCTAAGAATGTCATTTAAATTGAGTGACAGACAAGTGGAGATGAAAAACATTTTCAGGTGCAAAAGTTACTGTGATTAATTTTGTATCCAACTAACCTTCATACTTCGCTCCAAGGCTCAATTCCTTTTCCAGAAAGTTTTGAACTCCAAGCGGCACAGCGACCTAATTATAATGACATCAATCAATCAATAAAAAAAACTCTGAGCTTGTTACACACGCTAGCAGCCTCAATCATGATGGGGGTGGGGGAAGGGGGGGGGGACTCCCTTATAAAACTTGGTAGGCATGCTCGACGGACCTTTTAGGGTCGAAAATAAAACCCTCGCGTACCTTTTAGGGTCCTGAGCTGACTCCATATCTTCAATTAAAAAAACTAAAGTGCTAAAACTTCTAACAATCTATCGACATTGATTTTCTACAGTTTGTTAAACTTGAGCTTTTCTCTTGTCAAAGACGTCAAAAATGGCCGTACCTTTCAGGTCTGGAATCGATACCTGGATTAATTTATGCGTACCTTTTAGGGTTATTTTTCAATCCGTCCTTCAAGTATACCTACCAACTTTTATAAGGGAGTTCCCCACTCAATTTTTGTTACCTCTTTGTCTTGTATTGTAAATGTTTGGGTAACTTGAAGCGTGGTAAGGTACGCGGTGATCTGGCCTGAGAGTATTGACAGAAGAATCGTACCAATAATCATCCATAAAATAGCAAAGGACCGGCCGAAAAATGACTTGGGGCTTTTGTCTCCATATCTGACAAAAAAAGAACGAAATTAGCGATCGAAT